GAAGAATGTTGGGAATTTCACGTCCAGACCACCTCCCCAACACGATGATCTGGCAGCGGACAAGAATAAGACGGACGCTGTCGTCAAAGGCAGAGGAAAGGAGGAGCCACAGTGCACCAGGTAGGTAGTTCGGCAGACCGGCGGGAGATGGTCGACGATGATCGTCGACTGATATCCTTGTGGGTGGACTAGGTGGCCTGGTCTGCAGCCACGACGGTGGGAGGAATGGCCGCGTCTGGAGGGTGAGGGATCGAAACCGGTAGAAATGGTGGGTGTGTCTCGACGGGTACAAATGACCCCGGTGAAACACTGGATTCAAAGCTGGTGTAGCCAGCAGTTCAATCGTCGTTCTGTCCCTTCGTTAAGACGACGGTCTCCAAGCCGCATAAAAACACTGACCTGGCCTGGAAATGCGGTCGAAGCGAAATGACAGGCACACATAAGAGGTAGAAGGCGACGAAGGAAAACCCATGACGGAAGAATTAATGCCGACTGATCATAAATTAATTATTACAAAAGGTGGTCGTAATGGAGTGAATCCAAATTGTACTACGAACTCATGAAGGTATCCAACTTTTTGTCGACAGCTCGTGGAGGACGTTCAGAGGGCGCAATCCACTGCATTTCATTCAAGCAGCACTCGTTTCCGTTTGTGCATGAACCTCTTGGTTTAATTATGAAAGTAGAGGTGCAGGGGCTCAATGAATTGTAGGTCGGCTCGTCAGGTTCGAGTCTCGGGGAAGCGTAAAATGTCTTAGCTGCCGACTCCATCGAACAGGTAGTTGTCCACACACACACAAAATGCTTCCTAATGTAGCTGCGTCTCCAAGCAGACTTCTTGCATGGGGCACGACTATTGACTGATCGTCTGCTTCAAGAGTTACACACAATGGCGATCTGCTTCAGGCGCTTATCTGCGTGAATTATGCTCACAGCGATTTCGCCATCTATTGACGTTCGTATGGCAAAAAATGCGACTGTAAATATCACTCTGAATATTTCGCAAGGACGAGGGAAATAGATATGCTTTATTGCGGTCGTATTGCCGCTAGTATTATCATTTTTAATGGACCCATTCGTTTATAAACCGTTTTTGTTTGCTCGTCGTCGACAGCGACCGCGGACGCGTATGGATGCACGTGGCAAAGTACCGATCAGCGTCCACCGTCGAGCCGCTTGAGTGGCTGTGAAGGTTTAACCTCCAAACAGGCAGCTGGCGAGCAACTTTAACCACAAGTGACAGCCTTACTTACTTGCTGCTAAGGTACATCTGTGCCGCAGCACACGGATGATCCAAGCCTGACGGAAAAAGTTTGGTCTACAGCCATAATGAATCTATAGAAGCCACCGTTGAATGCTTCTGACCTCCCGTTAGCCCCCCGCACCTCAAATCTTTCGAATAACGATTCCTCCATTATTGGTTCATTAAGTGTTTAGATCATAATCATAATGAACATCATCAGGTTTATTAGCTTGTATCGCATCTGTCAGTTATAAATGACAAATAAGCATAAATATGAAATTAATAAAGAGCAGAAATATTAATATTAATGTTTTGCCGTGAAATATGTGCGTTGTTCTTCAATGTTCACAGACCATTTTTGTTGGAAAGCTGAACTCTTCAGTTCGATAGAAAAGAAGCGAAACTCCTTCCGACAGGTGCAGGTCTCGGTCCAATTAGAAGTACCGAAATTCTCTGAATACTCACGCTGAAGCAAGTCAGCTTAGTCCAAGGGCATGGGATCAGGCCTTTTTTCTCATTTGCAACCCATAGAGTAAATTTACGTAGAGACAGCACGGACTGAGGAAACATACAATCACTAATTTTCTTGAACTCGCCAACACCTCGATGTCATATTCTGTCTTGTACAAGTTCTGAACAGGGGCAATGACAAAGATATTCGTTAACTCAGCCGTATCACGAAGAACATGACTTTTCCCTCATTTCCGGATATGACTAACGAATGTATCAACAGGCTCTACTTTTCTGCTTTACCCTAAGGTCATCATCAACAGTTCAGCAGGTAGAAAAGGCTTCTGTTCCCGTCTATGAGTTAAGGAAAACTTCAGCATTTACCGTAATGGCCCCAGAGTAAATGTTCTTTCAGGTCCCATGCTCAGTTCTGATTGGGTACTCAGATTGATGTCTTGTCTCTGTTGCGGAGACGGTCGGGGTATCGGAGTTAAAGCATGGAAGGTAGTGCATTATGGATGAAAGATATATACGCCAAGCATACTAATTGTCCATCAAAGTCTTAGAGTTGGCACAAGATGCAACACGATTAAGATTTCAGGAAGTACAACACAACGGAGGGGGGGGGTCGTTTGGCAAAAGTTTGGAAAAGCTTAAACCGGAATGGTTTGCTCGAAGCAATCATATCTGATCCAGTATAGAAGATTGGTATATTTGTGTTCCTTGCTGTTGAGATATACATTAATTCGTAGAATCGTTTTTATGACTCTTTTATGTCCCGCGAATCTGCATGCAATCAGAAAGAAACTGCCGTGGTAGAAAAATTGGGGCCGTTTTTGACCGAAAGGTAACAACTCATAAAAATGTTCAAGAGAACATTGAAATCCATTGTCTAAGCATAATGTGATTAAAGATTATATGTTTGTCATTGCTTAATGGCCTTCCTGGAAAATCGATAGCTCTCTAAGCTTCTGAAACATTCGCATTCAGTATGTGCGACTCAGATGAAGTCTAATGTTCGGGCTGTGGGCTGCACTGGGTGAAATGATTGCCTTTTACCTAAATGCATTGTACAATTTCCGGACTATCGGTTATGTTCATAATTAAACGACCTCTAATTTTAAACGCCATTATAAGTAAGACATATTAAACTTTGCTAATCATATACACGGTGTAAAATTATTTAACGCAGGACTAAAGTTTCGGCTGACGGTCTCCACTGCAAGCAATATACACCTGTACGGTCATATATATTGTTAAGGAGTTACCAGAATGATTTTAACTCTCCGTCAGAAGAATACACATATTTCGTCATGACAAAGAAATATAGGCGGCCTCATCTTTGTTCATGACGTCTGCTATTGACTGGATTAAGAGTGCTTCGACAATTAAGCACTCTTAATACTTACCACCGTTGTTACTATAGTTGGGACGTTAAAATCAATGCTGTATCCAGTGAAACGTTCGCCAACATCGTTTTGCTTCGGTGCTGGTAGCCGCTACTCGTGTTGTACTCTTGCTGCTTGTGACGGTCTGGCGGTTGGACCCACCAGAGCAAGGTAGCAGGTATTTCGTGCAATTTATGAAATAAATCACATCGGTCTTTGCGTCTCTGTTTACCCTATACTTGGTGATCTCAGTTTCTCGTCTGATTGTGGTCCTGTACTTAAAAGGTCTAGGTTATGCGCATTATTAATAAAATCTTAATACTTTATTCACGAAACAAACCATGGTATATCCACATCGTTAAAGGCCATCATTTCACGGCCTTCTTGTTTTTTTTTCAGGGTTTGTTACCAGGTTAGACTTTAGCTGGGTTGACGTGCCTCAAAATATATGAAAATAGCCACACTGGTTCGATACGCGACCGGTCATCAGTTGTTGAAACGTATTTCACGTTTCCACCATATGTCTTCATGTCAATCGATCATATACTTCGGTCATCGTTTCATCATCATTCAACAAAGTATGCTTATATATAAGTTTAGCAGAATGTAGTTTACTATTTCCATAGAAGATTTTTTAATTTTGGGCCATATCTTATCATGCTGCAGTTTTTGATACATACGGTTAAAAGGCCTCCTGAGGCACCCGCTCCTGATTATGCTGCCGGCGTTGGCAAGGAAACGAGTCGATCGTTAGCACGCCGTTTCCATCAATGCTTTGCATTTGGGCTTAGGTCTGACCAAGCGTCAAGAAAACAATTCGAGGATATATTTTCA